TTTTTCTTCTATTTCTTTAAGGGATTTTCTTGTTTCCTCTTTGAAGGCCTCTGTCATCTTGCTGAATTAATTTTTGAGGTCCATCTCTTCTTCATGCACTATGTTGTGCTTTTCAGGTCTTGCTGGAGTGGAGTCCCTAGATTCTAGTGGTGTCATATTGGTCTTTCTGTTGTTGAGCGAGTTCTTATTCTGTCTTCTTCCCATATCTTTTTCCAGTGAGTGCAGGTAGGATCTCTCTATCTCCTCTTGTTACACTGTAGTGTGTGTGGGCCAGGAATTCAATGTTCGAAGCTCTGGATGTTCTTGCCTCTCCTCGTAGTCTCCTCACTCTCCTGGTCTGTGATGAGTCAGCGGCAGAAAGGGAAGGAAGAGTGGCCTGTACCCAGATTCAGGGAGCTCCTCCCTGCCTGGGCATGTCTGTTTCAAGCAGGGACAAGCCTGGAGGGATCTGGGTGAATGGCACTTAGGACAGTTGGGGAAAAGTAGGGGTCGCTCACCTGGTCTGTGATGAGTCAGCGGCAGAAAGGGCCCTGCTTGCATTTTCTGTTGTTTCTATTTGAAGTTGTATAAAACATAGGTGATACCTTAAAGCAGTGATTTTCAACCTTCCTAATGCTGTGACCTTTTAACACAGTTACTCATGTTGTGGTGACCGCAAACATAAAATTATTTTGTTGCTACTTTATAACTTGATTTTGCTGCTGTTAGGAATCATATATCTGCCTTTTCCAGTGGTCCCTGTGATGAAAGGGTTGTTCAACATCCCCCAGGGGTCTCAACACATAGGTTGAGAACCACTGCGTTTAAAAAAAACACTTGTGAATTCTCTTTTCCTTTGTTTTTAGATTCACGTTAGACTAAGTGCATCATCATAAGAGTCCTTGTTAAGTTTTTCTGTTTTGTTATCTTCCATTGTTCGCCAGAATGAAGTACATTTGCCCTTCTCCCCACAGCCTCTGAGAGTTCCGCGACAGGTGATCCCTGGTTACCACTTAGAGTGATTGAGAGCTACACTCAAATTGGAGATCTTGTTATTCCAAATAATACTTAAAACTCCAGTTACCTCAACTCAAGCACTCTTAACTTTGTCTTGTTCTATCCGACTTCTTCTAAGCATATGGGATTTCATTGATATAAAATAAAGATGATGGTTATTTTTCACAATATCATTGCCATATTCAAAAACAATTTTGATGTCTTTTCGTCTTTTGAATGGCTTTTTAACATCCTCCAGTGTTCATTCCCGCTAAGCTTTGTTGATTTCTACTAATCCTTCTGTAATGTCTGTTCTTTTTGCCTTGACTTCTGAAGTCCTTTTGATATTCTTCTTCCTCTTTCTATTAATGTGTGCTTCAAACTGACTCTTCATTTGTTTTCTGATGACATTTTAGAGCATAGAGCTGAAAGATTCTAAAAGCTATTACCTTTATAATGTAAAGAATGTTATGTTGGTCAGTTTCTGGTCACAATATGTTTCTGTGATCCATGTTTGTTTTGTGTGTGCACCAAAGGACA